CTCTCTCTCTCTCTCTCTCTCTCTCTCTCTCTCTCTCTCTCTCCAGGTTTTGGCTCAGCTCTGGGCCCAGGCTGGCAAGGTCCTTGCTGCTGTCTCCTGAACCTCCAAGGTGACCTTCCCAGATTTGCTTCCTTTTCACACACACCCTGCCTCTGCTGTAACTGGACCCACCTCTCGGGGCCCATCTTGCCTCCTTTCTCCTCAGAGCAGCTACTTTCAGGGTCCTCCAAGCCCGGTCCTTGGCTCCCAGGCCCGCCGTGTATGCCAGGTGCCTGGCATTTTCCAGGACTCCCCCTTCTGGCCAGGCTGAGACAGGGCACCGACGAGAGCCTTCAATGCCGGTTTCTCAGGCCTGAGGAATTGGTGGTAAATCCTGGCCCAGCGCCAAAGGAGCACCTGGATTCCAATGAGGGACTCTCCTCAGAGACTCAGAGGCTCAAACTTGGAAAAGGAACTCCCATGTCCCCCAGTCCAGAGAAATTCAGAGCCACGTGGCCTTTGGATCCCCCTTAACTGGAGAGAAAGAAGTCGAGGGGCGGCCGCTCCCCTTCCCCCCCAGCCCCGACTTTCGCACCTTCTCCTAGATGGACACCAGCCAGACTCACTGGAGGACCTGGAGGATGAAGCTAGACCTCCAGGTCTAGGATGAAGGCGGGGTATATGTGGGCATGGGGAAACTGAGGTAGTGGCCCCTCCCCTCCTACCAAATTGTTATCAGACTCAGACGACATTATTAATCTCCACTTTTTGGAGGGAGGTAAGATTAAGGGTTTCCATCACTGAATGGCCCCATGCCTGGCCACGAGGGGGAAGTAAGGGGCAGGCGGGGGCAGATAGGGCTGGTTTGGCTTAAGTCTTAGGGTCTCTTTCTTCCTCTGGGTTCATTTCCCCATCGTGTCTAAGGTTTCCAGGACCTCCCCCGTACCCCTTCCCATGTTTCTCTGCCCTCCCTCTGACTGGAACCTCGGTCCCAGGAAGGCTCTTGCAGGTGCAGAGCGAGGGAGGAGTTGGTTTTCTCGTCTCTGCAATCCTCCACTGCTAACTGTGAATAAAAATGCCCTTGGCAAACTGCCCTCTTGGCCAACGGCCTTTCTCTGGTGCACCCCAGGCTTGGCTGTGTTCCTCCTGTGTTCCCATCATCGGTGGTGCTCAAGGCAACCCAGGCGTCCTGCTGGGAAATGCAGAGGAGGGCCGGAGGCTTGGAGTGAGACTGGAATCACTCACTCAAGCTCCTTCTTTCTACCGTCGCTCCTGAGAGAAAAGTGAACCAAGTAGAGGCCCCCAGAGCTTCCGGGAAACGAGGGAAGCCGGTCCCAAAGACAGAAGAGCAGACAGAGCAAGGGTCTTTGCCGAAGACTTTAAGGCCCCTGCAGAGGAGCTCTGGGCAAGACTCTAATGGTGGGAAAGGAAGCCGGTGCTGAATTTCCTCTGTCTCTGCATGGGTTCCTAGTGACGAACAGCAGAGCAGGCTTGCAGCACCTGGGCAGAGGAGAGAGAACACATACGAGTCTCTGCTTAAGACCAGATGATCAGTCGGGAGGGATGTGGCCCAAGCCAAGGCCACTGAGCCATGCCGCTCTCCGGCCACTAGGCTATCAATGACAGGGCTTGGGTTTGTCTGCTGCCCTTTTCTGTGGGTCAGCCCATGAACTGGAAAGGCCCAGAGGGTTCCTCCTCCCATTCCGAGTTCCTCTTGGAACCTCTCTAACATTACCCTCCTGCAGCCTCTTGGTCTTGTGACCATGCACCGTCAGTCAACTAGAATGGGTAAGAGCAGCTGCAGGGGACAAGGCACAACCCTCGTGCACAGACCGGCCAAGATGGTCCCCGTTTCCCTCCCCTCGGCCCAGTGTCAAAAAGCAAAGACAGGCCCTTTCCCAGGATTCCCCAGGGCCACAGTGGAAACTACTTCCCCCTTCTCCCGTCGCTGAGGGCTCATCCCCAGGACTTAAGGACCAGCACAGGGCTTTCCTGTTACCCTCCTCAGTGTGGATGACAAAACAGCGTGCCAGGCGCAGCACCGGGAAGCAGAGGGTACCCTCATTGGGCACGTGTCCTGTTCAGAGTGGCTAGCCCTAAGGACAGGCTTTCTCCATAAAAAAGAAATTCTGTGTTCTCTGCCTGGTCCCACCTCCTCTTCAGTGGTGCGTGGTGATTGCAATCCCCATACTTCTTTGAGGCCTACATTCTAAGACTGCCCTTCAGGATAGGTAAAGCCCACCACAAGGACTCGCTTCCAGGTGGGACTTTCTTTACTGGAGGCCACCGATCTCGAAGAAGCAGACCTTTTCCACATGGCACCATTGGTAATTTTTACTACGGAATTCATTTGTTACTGACAGCTGTCCTGTGCACTCCTGAATACTTACTTACCGAAACATGGGTCCATACCCAGACAACAGTAGCAGCCCCCACTTCTACCCAGCTGTGACAACCCAAAATGCCTCCAGACAGTGCTAAACATCTCCTGGGGAAAGGGGAGAAACTGCCTGGGTTGAGGGTTGAGATCCACAAATTCAGGTTTTCTGCCAAAGATGGAAGCGTCTTCCAGGAGAGACGTTGGGCTTCATGTTGCAAGAGTGCCCTCTGGTGGCTGGAGTTGGTACTCTTTACCCAAAGCTCTGAACTAGACTTGAGTCAGTTCTGTGTCCAGAAAGGCGTGATGGCAACTTGGAATCCCTGAGATGAAGAAGTGAATTGCAAAATGCAGGCGTACTAGAAGGGCCCTTCCCTTGTAAAACCTCCCTAAATACGATTGCCAATCCACCAAAGGTCCAATCTGTCCAATGCAATCCACCAAAGGACCAATCTGTCCAATGCAATCCACCAAAGGGCCAATCTGTCCAATACAATCCACCAAAGGGCCAATCTGTCCAGTGCAATCCACCAAAGAGCCAATCTGTCCAATGCAGCAACGCAGACAGCAAAGATTCCGTTTTAATGTAACCAGGTCAGCCATCAACTCCAGACATGACTTTGGCACCCTGTGACCTTCAGCCTCCCGTGGGGAAGGTGCAGTGAATGCTCAGAATTTTTCAGGGACAATACTGCAAGGCACACTCAGCAACCACTTGACTCCTGGGCCTTACTTACTATGTGGTGCTAGAAAACCTAGAAGACTCACAAAGGCTTGAGAACTTAGGAAATCTAACTCCTGGGCTGCCAGAAGGGACCTCTGAGATCCCAGAGGAAGGGGTTATTTCAGATCACAGGGAAGATGATCATGGACTTACCCTCTGAAAGTATAAGCAACTCCACCTCCCCCCATTCCCCCACCCTCCCCACTCCCCCCACCCCCCCAACCCCCCACCCCCGCACACACACATACACACATTAAATGCTTTCCTTTATAAGAGTTGCCTTGGTCATGGTTGTTAGGATTCTGTACATGTGCAGCTTGGGGTCCTGTGTCTTACGTCTTACATCATCAGCTGAAGCTGGCCACTACGTACCCACCACATGGTCATGCAATTCCAGCCTTAAAAATCCAGACTCAGATCCCCACACTCTTTCTCCGTGTTCTCTCTCTGCTCCCACCATCTTCCTTTCTCTCCAGGCCTGGCTCTCCTCCCTCCGATCCCCTCTTTCTTTCTAATAAAGCTCTTTATAACTCTGGGAGTCGTGGCCGTGGCCCGTGACTTTTCCCACCTGTAACCAGTGCCGCCACCAGTGCCGTTTATCATAACCACCAATGGTGTCTCTTCACAGCAATAGAACATTAACTAAGACACCAGCCATGTCCTAAGTGCTTCCTGTATGCCATTTCAACCAATGCAGGGGCTTCGGGAGGCAGGCCCTGTTATCATCCCACTGTACAGAAGAGGACAAGTACAGAGAGATGAAACAGCCTGGCAAGCGGCAGAGGTCGGGTGCAGACCCATGCAGTCTCCCCACAGTCTGGTCCAGATGCTGGTCCAGGATGCCAGTTGCAAAGCAGGCTTCCACTGTTACCAGTCACCAGCCCGAGACCCTTTCACTCTATCTGGACAGAAGTCACAGGGAGTGAACGAGAAGCTGGTCTTTGGATGACTCTGACTGGACAGCAGAGAGGCAGCCGTAAGGTGGTGCCTCTTGTGTTGGCCGGGGTGCTAGATCCCTTGCTCTATAAGGGGTCTAGCTCTTGTATAGACCTAGGGAGTCAAGATTGCTCAAGCCGTCTCCCAGGCTCCACCATCTCTCCACCATCAGCACCAGCTCGCCTCCATCTCCCTGCCCTGGCTGATCTTGTGTTGTTCATCAGCTTCTTCAGCTCCCAGCCTAGCGTTTCCACAGCTCAGGGAGAGGCAGCAGAGGCAGCGCAGCAAAGTGCCTCGCTGCGATGAGCAGCCTGCGCGCATAGCCAGAGGAAGGGTGTCTGCACCAATCACAGTCACTCACAAATGGTGCTTTGTGTTTGCTCCAATCCTAGCCCTGCCTCTCTGCCAGTCCCTCTGTCGGCCACGAGAGGAGGGCCCCCCCCTCTGGCCTAGGTGAAAATGGTTGCCGGGTCATCTAGAGTTCACTGAGGCTTGTGGTAGCAAAGCTCTGACAGCTGCGGATCAAGAAATCAAAGAGCCCCATCCCTCCAGGGTCTGCTTATTTACTGGGAAGTGGACACCAGGAGTGCTTACAAGAAACTTGACATTGATGCTAAGAATGATTCTAACCGGCTCAATAGTGTGTGACAGCTGCCAGTACCAAAGGGAGGAGTTCCCCTTCTCTGTCTAGCTGGGTGTCCTAGTTACGGTGACTATGGCTGTGGTGAAGCACCATGATCAGCCAGGGGAGGAAAGGGTTTATTATCATCAAAAGCAGTGAGGGCAGGAACTCAGGCAGGGCAGGGGCCCCGGGGGCGGGAGCTGATGCAGAGGCCATGAGGGGCGCTGCTCGCTGGCTTGTTCATCATGGCTTGCTCAGCCTGCTTTCTTATAGAACCCAGGACCGCCAGCCCGGAGATGGCACCACCCACAATAGGCTGGACCTTCTCCATCACTAATAAAGAAAAATGCCGTATAGCCGGATCTTATAAAGTCATCTCACTGGAGATTCCCACCTTTCAGATAACTCTAGCTTGTGTCAAGTTGACCTGAAAC